GATTGAAGCCAAAGGTCATTTTTGCAGGATCATGTTTTTTTCCTCAAACAACGTTTGATTTCCAGTAGCACCTGTCAATATCCAACCTGTTTACTGCAGTGGAGTTTCCAGCAGTGGGAAAGCCGCTGACCCTGTAAGCACACAGAACCTTGTGGAAAATGATGGTAATTCCAATACTGTTGATACCTCCAGAGACTTGGCATGGCTTTAGTCATCCGCCTGGATCCAGCAGAGAGCGGTAGAACATAAAAACACTTGGGATACAGCGGGGGTTGTCATGGTAATCCACAACCACCATAATAATTTCTTCTCTTCCTTTATATATCCAATTTCTCTCTCTATCCCACCCCTACTATTACTATTATTATTTAGCTTTTTTTTTCTTTCTTTCTTTCTTTCTTTCACTTTCCATTTCCATCATCCTCTTTATTTCTCTTTTTATCCTCGCTGTCTATTAGCCGCCCAGATGAAACGACAAGGGGCTTTCCGAGTTTCTGGGATTGTTCCAATCATGTGGGAGAGCCCTTTCCTCACTGTCTTTTCCCAGCACAGGTGCCTGCTGCAGCGGCTCTAGTAAGCTGTCTGCAAATGACATTGGTTCCCCTCCGTTGGTCACATCCTGTGTCCCGGATATGATACTGCCATGAGTCTCGGTGTTCCGAAATGGAAACACGTCTGGCTTTGGATTGCATGATGTCCATCTGTGGGACGACTGCGCTGAAAGCAGCAGAAAGAGTGTCCAACAAGGTAATTCCAATATGTCCCACATGACAGAATTAGATTTGGTCAGAAATAGCCGCTGAAATGTTCCATAAAGTCTTCTCTTTAAAGGTTTTCTCAGTGTGTTCATTGGCAGTGCCGAAAAAGCAGAAATAGATACTGTTTGTGAGATTCAGTGTACAGCTGTTAAAGAGGAGGGTTTCTGCGATTCATTGACATTTTTATGATGATTGAGTTCAAATTACTTCATGAACATTTTTTAAGTTCACCTCTGGCGGTAATGTGAGAGTGCATAGAAATTCAAAGCAATAGTGCGACATTTTCGGAAATATATTAATTTATCTTGGTGCCGAGGGTCATGTTTGAAGATCGATACCACTCTCACATCTGTGACTTAAAAACAACCACCCTTGCTCTGTTCAAGTACTTTTAATGTGCCAATCAGCACCTCTAAAGCTCTCTAATTAACATAGACTGGCGAAGAACTTAACCTTCTGGTGGACCAACATGGGGTCTTCTTTCAGACAAAAATATGTATGGTAGTTAACAACGAGGCACAAATCATTTTGAAATGCACCATAAATTACACATATCTGGCAATTTAAAATGTAATTTTGCAAGTCCTCCTGAAACACCACAATGTGTTGTTTCTACACTTCTGTTTTTTTATGGATTAAACAAAGTCCATAAGAATCTAGACCAGGTGTGGACAACCTTGGTTGAAGTTTGGTAGGCCTGCTTGTATTGTGCTCTCATATATAATTACAAGGCCCTGATTGTGGGATTTTTAAATGTCGCTATGCACATTGCCTATATGGATGGAACACAATTTCAAATCCATTGGCGATTTAAACTTGGATGTTGTGTCATAAATTAACTTAACGTTAACCTAAACTGATTAACAAGAAACTGCCACTTCATATGAAAAAGGTAGCTGACCCCTGATATAGACAATCAAATAACCTGACCAGCCTGCATGTATATACAGTGTACATGTATTTTGCTCTGATTGGAGCACTTTTTAATTCAGAATAATGTACTTATATAGTAGTCCAAAGAGTCAGAGACACTTCATGAAAAAAGTCTGAGCACCCTGCCTAGAGTTATTGCTCACTCTCTGAAGTTAGTGGCCTAGAACAATTTCTAACTATAGTATGGACTGTTTTAACACATTCACACACACACACACACACACACTGCTCTTCTCTGTTATTCTCTGTTATTCTCAGTTCTCGCTTTCACCCCGTTTGCCACCTGTCGACTCTTGCACTCTCAGCCACTGACTTCAGGCAATTAAGAAAATAAACAGAATGTCCAAGGGTCCCCAGGGTCCATTAATCTTTCTTTTTCCTATTACACAACGAACTGGCCTGGCAACATGCCTGGTCATCAACAATGGGTAACCAGTAGACACCCACAACTTCACTTCACCACATGAAATGTAAAATGTGTCAGCAGCAATTTGGTCATATTTACCACAGCTATATGACATGTTGAGATTAAATAGTGATGTGTGGTTATTGGCTTGCCATGGTAACAATAGAGCCCATATGGGAGGGTTGAGCCTGTGTTTAGATGTTATTTATCATGTGCAAAAGTCTAGGAAAATAATCTCATATATCATTTTTCACCTCCAATTAACCGTGAAGGCATTTGCGTTGCACAGAGTGAGCAGCGGCTGGAATGTGAGAGTGTAGTAAGAACCGTGGGTCACGAGTGGATGTCAAGGCCATTTTTTGATATAATAGCTCAAATAAACTTTAGTGGGTGGGAGTTCTCGTACCGCTGACACCTTCATGTCAGTACAGTGGACTAAATCAGAGCAGGAATATGATCATAGCAGTCATAACAGTTCATACAAAAATACCTTTGATGTGAAATGGAAAGTTCAAGAACTCAGCGTGTTCTTTCACTTAGTGGCATATACGAGTGTTGAGCTTCTTTTTTTTTTTTTAAATAGACATTTTGCGAATCTCTTGGAAATATTTCAAACTGATTAAATAAACAAGATAAATGTGTTAGTTAGTGTTTACCCCCTTCTCCAGTCTTTATGCTAAGCTAAGCTAACCGGTTGTGGTATCAATATTCTCATCTAACTCTTGGCAAGAGATGAGCAAATGTCCCAAAATGTCAAACTATTCCTTTAACCCTTTGGCTATCACAAAATGAGTCTTCAGGCCCACACGCATTGGAAACAAATTGATGTGTTTCTTATGTGTACAGGTATGATTGGGTGGCCTAAAAAATATCTGTTCTGGTCCCAATGCGCAATTCAAAAAGCATTAAGGTTTCTGCAGGTTTCTGATCCTTTTGATTTATCTGTTGTTTTTTCATAGCTTGCTCCTGGCATGTGGGGGTCACGGCCAAAAGGGAAGACATTTCATGTTCTCCCATGTTTGAGCTTTTACAACCAAAGGTTAAAGATTGTCTGTTTGTACTCTCTGTGGACAGAATACTCTGTGTGTGTGTGTGTGTGTGTGTGTGTGTGTGTGTGTGTGTGTGTGTGTGTGTGTGTGTGTGTGTGTGTGTGTGTGCATGTTTAACAGTGGAATTTCAATGGTTGTCAAGGGGACAGCAGGACAATGTCCTGAGGCAAATGGCCTCAAAAGTACCGAAACAGAGAACTTCATAAACACCTCAGCCTGTAACACATATATTTCAAACTTCAGACACTGACCGTGCATGGTAGAATCATTTTCACCCACTTCTAGCGTATAAACATTCAAGAAAACCTGGTTTTATGAAAGAGATGCAATCGTCTGGAGTAGTGTCATACACCATAGTGTGCTCTGGGCGACAGCTCTGTCTGTTTCCATGCTGTAACCTCCTCCTCTCCTCATCCCACTCTTCCTGTTGTCCGGATGAAAGGAAAAAAGGGGAATGATTAAAGGGAAATACTGTACATATGAAGGTTGTCTCCATTTGGTTTCATGAAATCATGACTGTGTTAAAAGTGAAATGGAGGACTTGCCAAAGAACTGTCAATCCGTGAAGCCAGCAGGGAACACACACACACACACACAAACATCGTTGTGGGAATAGATGTATGATTTATGTGCACTGTCGCCATTACGCGAGGCTACAGCCCCCACGAGAGGCACTATTTATCCAGCCCAATAAATTGGATTAATTATATTTGTCTTAAAATGTGCTCACTCTCAAGCATCGTTTCCATCGTTGAGGAGGCAACTCTGACTCATATCTGACCATCGGTGTAGAAAACCAACAGTCCGTCTGTCATCTAAACCGGCGGTGATGTGACACCTGAGCTGTTGTGCCAATGTATTTATAGTTTAGGCAAAACGCTAAATTGTTCTCTTAATCCTGGGTCTATTTTCATAATATTTCATCTTTTCATGGATGTTGGATTCATACCATTAGGAATTTAAAGAGTGGCCAGTTTGTTCTAGAGAGACAGCCTTAGGTGTGAAGGAAACTTAGACTGCCTGCCAAAGCGGTGCAGTCAACCAGAACTTAGTGAACCATCAACCAATTTGGCAGAGGTAAACAAACTCTCAAATGTCTCCTAAATTATATCCCAAAGACATTTTTTTCACTGAGCTTCCTATGGGACTTATCTGGCCTTCCTTCAACATTTAAAGTGAAATGTTAACTTTATATTCATCATCTTTGATGCTAAACTGTTAACCAGGTGTCGACATGGCTATAAAAGGGTACATAAGGTTACCCATAACATAGGGATGTGGCACATGAATCACCCAACATTTTGAATGGAATTATACAGTGTATGGGGATGCTGTCTACACACAGAAAAATTTCAAATCATGTCAAGTCCATTTTATGCATACAGCCCAAAACCACAAATTACCAATTTGCATCAAAGGGCTTTACAATCTGTATATGAGACCCTTTATTGACAAATCAATTGAATAATTATATATGCAATAATGTAGGCCGTGTCCTTAGCAGCGGCCCAAGTTCAAATCCGACCCCTGCATTTCGCCCCCTCTCTGTCCTCCTTTCCTGTCTATCTTTGGCTGTACTATAATAAAATACAACTCAAAAAATGTTTTAAAAATAAACTCACACACACATACATCTACATTATTGTTCATGGGGACCATTAAATAAGTACATTGTGACTATTTTAGTCTATCATGCAGCAATAAAAACCATGGGACAATGCACGCATGCCTACATCACAGAAGAAATAATGCAAAACATCTTTAACAATAAAGTCGCATGTACCAAATGGGCTTCCATACTTCCTCAAAGATCGGCATTTGTTTGAACCTGTCAGCTAACGCTTGCAAAGTACTTGCGGGCTTTCATAGATCTACACAACATCCAGTTTGCATGCCCTGCTGCCTCAACAGCAATCCCCATATGCATGTGTCCCATCCACAGTCCACATTCCTTTAAACGGAGGCTGTCAGAGGGGCGTGTACGTTGCGAGTCGGTCTTTTCACTCCAGCAGGGACACCGAGAGAGCTTCACCATGGCCTCAGCACTGAATTGCACACCCTTTATGTTGTGTTTTATTTATTTTTCGTTACTGTTTACCAGTGTGTTTTGCGACTCTGATGCAGAAGAAGATGAACATGCCAAGCACACGTACACGGTGGAGATGTTCAACGAGGCGGTGCCCACTGCACCCCACTTTGTCATGTTTTACGCTCCATGGTAAGTGAACAAGTTTTTTTCCATAAAACGTTGAACACATTAATTGCAGTAACCTGTACAACATTGTCTTCTTTTTTTTTTACACCGCCCTTACAATAAGGAAAAGGTTTATAGAGTGGGATTAGAGCTAACCGGCAAGTTAGCAAACAAGCTAGGTAGCAGACATGCTAGTCTGCTACCTAGCTCCGTCCTCTTGGACAGCCGGTGTTTAGCTTAGCTGCTAACTAGCATAGTCAAACAATTAGCAAACTGCACTTTACTGCAATTGTAGCACTTTTCACAAGGGCCTCGGTGCTTACAATGTTAGTAACGTTAGTTCACTAGCCGTTGAAATGTAGTTGCACACTTTGAACGTGGGAACTTAAACTAGTGCACATCGTTTGTGGTGCTATACTTATTAAGTTAGTGCCGAAATAGTCGACCACAGCTCGTAGTTGTAGTTTGGGAAGCCGTGCTTACGTGGCACGCACTGATTGACTGCTATATAACGTTACATGTCGGCGGTTCCAAAAATGTGGTCCACGGACCGTCAGAGGTCCTTGAGGGGGGTCTAAGGAGTACAGAAGAAGACCTTTCAGAATGTAATGCCTCATAAACACCACTCTGAGCCTTCATATGTAATACATGTAATTCCACATTTCCCTTGAAAGTGCAGACAGTTCAGATAAGTTGTATGTTTGTGTAAAAGCTTTAAGAATATCTTCTGTTGTGCACTGACAGTATTTGTACTACTTGTTGTGTCCAGGTGCGGCCATTGCCAGAGGCTACAGCCGGCGTGGAATGAACTGGCAGACAAATACAACAACATGGAAGAGCCTACAGTGTATGTGGTGAAAGTAGACTGCGTCCCGGACACCAAGTTCTGCTCCAATAACCACGGGGTTAGGGGCTACCCCACGTAAGTAACCCTCACACCAATTCATATTAATTCTTTGGCATGCATTAGATCCGCCCAGATTTTGCACATTTTTTACATTAACAAAAAAAGGCATTTCCATGTAGGATTAAAAAAAAAAAAAAACATAAAGTAAAAAGTCCTATTCATCACTGATTGACAGAGGATTGTACATTGGCTTGCATTAAGTTTAATATTCTGTCAGTATCTTAATGACATCCTCTAGGATGCTGACTGCATGCTATACCTGCAAACACAGCTGTCACTGGACAATGATTGACAGAAGCTTTATAACCATCCTTTGACAGGGTCCTAGAGCTTGTAGTAATGAGACTAGTTAGTAGTTTCACTTTCTTGTGAAGCTTGTGAGTGTGAACCAAATGTCTGCCATGCCAAAATTCCTTTAATTCAAAACGGGTTTTTTTGTGTGTTATATGTAGATTGATGTTGTTTAAGCCAGACCAGGATGCAGTCAAGTACCAGGGGCCCCGAGATCTGAAGTCTCTGGAGACCTGGATGTTGAAGTCAATCCAGGAGGAGCCTTCAGTGAGTTGTGTTCACGGTTCCAACACCTCAAGTTTATGAACCAGTGACTCTTACAGCACGATAACGGTGGTATTTAAAGATGCTTGTTGTTGTTGTGTGTCCTCCAGGAACCAGAGAGTGAACAGGAGCCTCCTAAAGTCCCGGAGCCCAAACAGGGCATGTATGATCTGACCGCTCTCAACTTTAAGGCCCACATAGCCAAAGGTAAAGATCTAGTAGAAAATATGCCGTTTAATGCTTCATGAAAGCTCTGTTGTGCCACTTAACAGAGGCAGATGAATAGTTACCTTCATCCTGTGTGTTTGTGCAGCTGCATCCTGCCTGCAGCAGATAACTTGTTTCTGTTTTGGCTCAAATTTTAAACATGCTTTCCGTTTTCAACCACACTAAGTAGTGTTTCTGGATCCCTCCTTAGAGAATGGAAACACTTCATTGCCTTGATTGACATAACTGACGTTTCAACACGAGCACCTGAGTCACAATCCACAACGTCGGTCAACTCGAGCCAACTATTTAACACTTGTCTGCTGGCGCCTCACCTTTCTGGACTTTCAGACAACGAATGCTAAAATAAACAGTGCTCGCGGTAATTGTCTCGTTGAAATTGTGTATTTTAAGCTCTGCTGAGGTTGAATGTTTTGGTTTTGAAGAAAAATAAATGATTTCTTGTTTGGAGAAGAAAGAAAGCAGGATATGACATACGCATGTTTATAGGTCCCACCTTCACATCTTGGCAACAGAGCTCCAATAAAGGTTGTGTAATTGGTTGCGTATAACCTCTGTATAGGAGGTGTATATTTTCATTTTTTCAGCCTCACCGTTGTACATAATTATGTCCATATAAATATTGGTATACACTGTGCTGCATTTTACTTTCTTACTCTTTGTATTTTCTTTTATTCTTGACATTTTCTGCTGGTTATCCGCACTTTCTTTTTCTAATATGGTTTTCCTCTTGCTTCAGGCGCCCATTTCATTAAATTCTTTGCCCCGTGGTGCGGTCACTGCAAAGCTATCGCCCCGACCTGGGAGCAGCTGGCCACCACCTTTGAGCACTCTGATGATGTCAAGATAGGAAAGGTGGGTTCTTCAGATTTTTCAGTCTCACAGGTTCATGATCAAACTACTTATGAATAATAAAACACTGCATACTGTGACACGGGGTAAAAACAGGACAACCACAAAAGTATTGGCGTTTGTGGAAATAATGGTGCTTTCTTTCCACAGAAAAAAAGTTAGCTGCATTTTTCCTAACCCTACTATATGAGCTGCCTTTGTGACACGTTTGCTAAACTGTTATTAAAGTGCTCCACTTGCTCTCGTCCTTGTTACGTGACGTTACTTCACACTACCGGTAGGGTTGTAACGGGCCATTGTCAATCTGTGATCTGTACCGATCCCCCTCGCATGTGAGCCGCTGATTACACAGATTATCAGGACATCAGAATTCATGCTTTCTATTAGCCGATCCCTGATAATGTTACATCGTTCATATTCGCAGGAGGAGAGCTAGCTGCGATGGCAGCACCACAAACGTACAGAGGTTTCATTCAGTAACATTATGATGCGTTCAGGCTCTGTTCAGTATAAATAGTATGAGCGAATGTAAACTATGACGTTTTCATGATGTGTTCAATTGTAGTCTTGTGAAGTGTAGTTTTGGTGAGAAACTTTAATTAATACAATTGTTTAAAGAAGATGTTTTCATAGTAATATAAAATCGATATTGGAGATGAATTATGACCGGTTCAACACTAGCTCTAAGCAGCTTATAATACATCAGTAAAACTACTAATGACAAAAAAACACCATAGATGACTACAGCAAAGTAGAAGGGTAACATTTAGAATGGTTTACACTGACTTCAGAGCAGTTGAAATATCTTTTTCTTTTGTTCTGATCTGTGACTCAAATCCGTGATCCGAGTCGTGAGTTTTATGATCCGTTGCACTCCTAACTGCTGGCCCGACAGAACAGGATGCTGGTCACATGAGAAGCTGCCTGTTTGCCTACTGTGTCATCAAACACACACCTCCTAATCAAATTTACAGAGTCAGTATTTGCACTGATGTTTCATTCTAGTTTGATAACACATGCTCATATATTTCTGACCTAGGTGGACTGTACACAGCAGTATGAGGCGTGCTCTGAGAACGGCGTTCGTGGGTATCCCACACTGATCTTCTTCAACAATGGACAGAAGGTACGGAATCGTTTTTTCACTGCTTCACACTTTCCTTTCCAAATAGTCTCTGCATGCACAGCCATTCGACACGTTTTGGCCGTTGCCTGCCTCCGTCTGACCTGCTGCCACTGCGGCTGTCGTGTTCTTTGTCATCGACACCTAAGATTTATTGCAAAATATAACAACCTCCATGACATGACATCATACTGGGATGATTAAACACATAAATATTAAAAACACTGACATGTTAATCACAACAGCCATCGTATGATTACACTGGCGCGATTTGGAGATCCAAGTTTAAGATTGAAACGTGTAAGTACAGTATTCATTTCAGTGTGTGTGTGATTGTAGACTGATCAGTACAAAGGAAAAAGAGACCTGGACTCCTTCAAAGACTTTGTGGACAACCAACTGAAGGCTGCCGTCGCTCAGGAGCCAGAACAAGAACCGAGTGAGGAACAAAAAGCAAACGAGATCCCCGCTGATGAGCCAGCCGAAGAGGAGGCAAAGGTGGGTGTGAACGACAAAATAGACCAAATGCCATACACAATAAATGTATGCTACAGGTGTTCATCCATTCAGAAATGGTCAAAACATATTTTAGCAACAATTCTTCAGTTGCTGAGTTATTTTGCCTGGCACATGAAAGGCTTTAGACACCTGAACATACTCATAAAACGGCTCTGACACATTGCCACGTTCTCAATGCTTGGTATCCAACCAAGCTGCGGAAGTGTTGCAGCCCATATATTATGATTTGGGGAATCTGCTTTGCATGAGAAGCTGTAAATGGAGGGGCGATCACTTTTATGTAAAGTACAATCACAGATGTTTCATTAGGGTGGACCAAACAAATTGCGTCCATCTTTAACCTGCACGTAAGTAAAGATGTCTGAGCTGAGCACCCACTAAGTTATTAGTAATTATAGTTCGGCTGATGACAACGACATCATCCTTTAAGAATGTACAACAACAAAAGTGAAGCAATGGTGAAAGTCTGTTTTTGTAAACCTGGATGCACCTTGGACACCACATCATAGAGCAGGATAGTGTGTCCTACATGTTCCTTGGTGTTCTGGTGCCTTGAGTGACTACTTTAATAGAGTCCATGTCAGAGGTTTGTGTTTAATGCTTAACACACTATACCGTACTATGACGTTCTTTACTTTGTTCAACATACTATACTGTGACCTTTTTAAGACTTTCGACATTATACTATGACAATTTTTTAAAAACTTTTTTTAATCGCCGTATGTATGTATGTGTATATGTATATACAGTGGGTACGGAAAGTATTCAGACCCCTTTAAATTTTTCACTCTTTGTTTCATTGCAGCCATTTGCTAAAATCAAAAAAGTTAATTTTATTTGTCATTAATGTACACTCAGCACCCCATCTTGACAAAAAAAAACAGAAATGTAGAAATTTTTGCAAATTTATTAAAAAAGAAAAACTGAAATATCACATGGTCATAAGTATTCAGACCCTTTGCTGTGACACTCATATTTAACTCACATGCTGACAATTTCTTCTGATCCTCCTTGAGATGGTTCTACTCCTTCATTGGAGTCCAGCTGTGTTTAATTAAACTGATTGGACTTGATTAGGAAAGGCACACACCTGTCTATATAAGACCTTACAGCTCACAGTGCATGTCAGAGCAAATGAGAATCATGAGGTCGAAGGAGCTGCCCAAGGAGCTCAGAGACAGAATTGTGGCAAGGCACAGATCTGGCCAAGGTTACAAAAGAATTTCTGCAGCACTCAAGGTTCCTAAGAGCACAGTGGCCTCCATAATCCTTAATGGAAGAAGTTTGGGACGACCAGAACTCTTACTAGACCTGGCCGTCCAGCCAAACTGAGCAATTGTGGAAGAAGAGCCTTGGTGAGAGAGGTAAAGAAGAACCCAAAGATCACTGTGGCTGAGCTCCAGAGATGCAGTAGGGAGATGGGAGAAAGTTCCACAAAGTCAACCATCACTGCAGCCCTCCACCAGTCGGGGCTTTATGGCAGAGTGGCCCGACAGAAGCCTCTCCTCAGTGCAAGACATATGAAAGCCTGCATAGAGTTTGCCAAAAAACACATGAAGGACTCCCAGACTATGAGAAATAAGATTCTCTGGTCTAATGAGACCAAGATTGAACTTTTTGGCGTTAATTCTAAGCGGTATGTGTGGAGAAAACCAGGCACTGCTCATCACCTGCCCAATACAATCCCAACAGTGAAACATGGTGGTGGCACCATCATGCTATGGGGGTGTTTTTCAGCTGCAGGGACAGGACGACTGGTTGCAATTGAAGGAAAGATGAATGCGGCCAAGTACAGAGATATCCTGGAAGAAAACCTCTTCCAGAGTGCTCTGGACCTCAGACTGGGCCGAAGGTTCACCTTCCAACAAGACAATGACCCTAAGCACACAGCTAAAATAACAAAGGAGTGGCTTCGGAACAACTCTGTGACCATTCTTGACTGGCCCAGCCAGAGCCCTGACCTAAACCCAATTGAGCATCTGGAGAGACCTGAAAATGGCTGTCCACCAACGTTCACCATCCAACCTGACAGAACTGGAGAGGATCTGCAAGGAAGAATGGCAGAGGATCCCCAAATCCAGGTGTGAAAAACTTGTTGCATCATTCCCAAGAAGACTCTTGGCTGTACTAGCTCAAAAGGGTGCTTCTACTCAATACTGAGCAAAGGGTCTGAATACTTATAACCATGTGATATTTCAGTTTTTCTTTTTTAATAAATTTGCAAAGATTTCTACATTTCTGTTTTTTTCTGTCAAGATGGGGTGCTGAGTGTACATTAATGAGAAATAAAATGAACTTTTTTGATTTTAGCAAATGGCTGCAATGAAACGGAGTGAAAAATTTAAAGGGGTCTGAATACTTTCCGTTCCCACTGTATGTATGTGTGTGTATATGTGTGTGTGTATATGCATGCATGCGTAGGGGTTCTCGGTCAGGTAATCAAAGGGATCCTCCCAATCAGCACAGTTTAATATCCGATGTTCTGTCCTCTCCACAGTCCAGTGTGTTGGACCTTACAGAGACCAACTTTGACGAGAGCGTGGCAAAGGGCTTCACCTTCATCAAGTTCTACGCTCCATGGTAAGATCGTCCTTTTATTTATCTTCATCTTCAGCCTCCTATTTCAAGTAACACAATCACTTTCAAATGTCTAAATATGTGTCGTCCCTTTAAGTGATGTCATTCCTGTGTAATCCTGTAGGTGTGGCCACTGTAAGAACCTCGCTCCGACATGGGAGGATCTTTCCAAGAAGGAGTTTTCCGGCCTCACTGACGTCAAGATAGCCAAAGTGGACTGCACTGTTGAGCGCACACTCTGCAACAAGTACTCTGTAAGTATGTGTGGGCGTCATCCACAATTTATACCTCAAGACCCCATCCGAAGAGAACATTGAGCCCTTTGATCTCCTCCTCTCACATACCCTTATGTCAGCTTTTTAATTCCCTCAAGATGAAGTGTGTTTTACAGGATGTAATAAAGTGAAGATGGGTTTATTACAGCGCCATAAAACAATATTGCTGCCACGTACTTTAAGTAGATGCTACACACTATAATCTAAATGCAGATTTAACAGTCATGGGTAAATAAATGTTGGCTGGCACGCACTCATCAGCTTTGATCATTAAGACAAGTTATCATTGTGTACAATGCGAGTTGTACTGCTTGCAGAATACTTGCATCAACGGTTCAGTTTTTTTAGTTATGACTTGAGTGATGATTTATTGATCAAATGTAACCTTTTTGGTGTGTTGGTTTCAACTTCACTCAGGCACCATTTATTTTTGTTTACTGGTAAATATTTGAACACTGCATAAGAAATAAATGGTTTTGGAGGAAGCACATGGATTGAGCTGCTGTTTTCCGTCCGTCTTTATTCAGGTCCGAGGTTACCCCTCGTTGATCCTCTTCAGGGCGGGGGAGCAGGGTGACGAGCATCATGGCGGACGGGACCTCGAGAGCCTGCACAGCTTCGTGATGAAGCAGGCAAGAGACGAGCTGTAGAGTCAAGTCAGCACTCAACTCTCCACCACTCTGCATATCTGGCCTGTAGGACACTACTCTCTCTCCCCTACAGTAGCCACACCTCTCTCTCTTTCTCTCCACTTGGGAGGCAGCCAATGATGGAATGATTCAGCAGAGTGTTTGTTTGGGATGTGAATATTCGTTGCTGTTGCCCAACCTTAACTCTCCTAAAATGGAGAATACTATCCTATTGGTTGGGTTTGCAAATGAAGTAATATGTCGGACAATCACTTTGCAAGCACTGCTCAATCAATCAGAACCAGAACTCCTCACACAGATAAAAAGGTCTTTCATCAAACTGCTGCCACTCAAGGAAAGGTGTGCCAGTTTCTACCTGTTGGATAAAAAGCATTTGATTCTGATGAACTTCTTCTGTAGCCATTTGACTTTTTTTTTTTTTTTAAATGCTACATTTTATACGTGGGATCTGTTCACAAGCCATTAATGTTAAGGTACCGACACTCTAAAGTTTGTAAAGTTAGTGTCACCCAAATGTAAAGTTGAGTGTACTTTCTATCCATGCCAGCGATGGCCTATCTGACTTGACTCTCAGGAAAACGCCCTGCAGACTAGAAGAAGTTGTGATGGAGGAATCATTGTTATCACAGGTCTGATAATGGCACACACAGTGTTTTCTTAATGACGATTTATATATTTTGGAAAGAACGAGATACGTTAGGTAAGCTTGGTATACTGAACATCGCAATTGTGCATCTTGCCCATTTTCTGACTCCTGTGATCTCAATCAGCCGTCCCTCTCGACTCCTAGCTTTCAGGGTCTCTGGCCTGGACCATTTCGCCCCATATCTCCATTAGTGACCATCTGCTGTTACTATTGTTTTCATTTCTTCTTCAAACGGTGTGAATGTAAGGTTTTTGTGGTATATTGCTCGGGCCATGTCCAAAGGATTTGGGAACCAGTAAGTGGAGCAGGAAAAGACAGTTGGGTCACTTGGTGTTATTTAGAATCTTTTGCACTTTGTCATTCACAAGTCATGGTGATCTTTTCAAGGAAGTTAGCTTTCATCAGTGCTTACTGACAACCTTACTTCCGTTTGACATTTCTGTAATGATACTTGTGAAGGACTGAAACGAACATTGGCCACAGTTCAGGGGTCAGGTGGGCTGACTAGCATCGTATCGCTCTTCTGACCATGATTGTGGTCTAGTCTTACCTTAGTGATTGAACCAGCTGCAGCTTGAGTTTAATTGCTGTTTGAAGATTCAACAGTCACCGGCCAAGAAAATGTCATGTGTCACAGACCTGGTTCTAAGAGCAGTTTCTTCTCCGGACACTTTCCTGTGACTGACTTCACCCACCTGTTAGGCCATGTCGATAACACTGCTACTGCTCTTTGACCCAGGTTATGTGACAAGTGTATGCTGCATGATGCAGGGCACCTTTTTATTGTCTAACCCAGGTACACAAACAGTCAGACACAGCAGGTTGTTTTTTTTTAGTTGGTAAAAGTTTTTATGGATAGCACATGGTCTAAGGAACTCCAGTGACAGAAGTATTTTTTTCCTTATGGGTAATGGGTTGTGCACTACCCATGGATTTTGTACAAAAAAAGTGAATAATGGCAAGTTGTAACATGAGATTTCATAATAAAGATTTCCAAAAAATAAGTTTGTATTTTCATTTCGTCCTTGCATCTGTCTGTTAATAAGGTATGTGTTTTTTCTTTTTTAATAAAAGGTGCAATAAATAAGCTGAGAATGTACAAGTATTTACAAAAAAAACAGACTAAACATGATCACAAATGTAAACAGCAGCTTACCAGAGGTATATTTTGTAATTTATGATTGGTTAGGCACGTAAGGTATTGATTCTTGTTGGTTAGTTTTTCATTAAAATAAACTCCATGTCATTCAAAGCTCACAGTAACATATTCAATTGGAAAGACTTTGCCACTTGACACAGATCTCAACATAATTTTACCCTCAGGGTTGAAAAAGCAAAGGGCTAATTTCAGAACGCGAGCACAGACTCGGTTCTGCCGGCTGTTTTTCCACAATCTCTTGATGGGTTGTCAGGGGTGGAAGCGTTTGTTAACTTTGCGTGTGCAGCAACATGGAAATGGCCATTTGCGGTATGTCGGAGGGATAAGGCTGTATTCTTCGGCTCTTTGGAGAAAAACATCAGTTTAGCCACAACATGCATCATGATTAACCATCCTGGTGAATCGCAGCTCAGCGTGAGCCTGGCAAATATTGACACGGAGGGGATATTTGGAGCAGTGCGCTTCTAAAATAGCCTGCGGTCACTTTGGTTCAGTCCATATTATATTTTAGGAGGGCAAATATGGCTTTAAGAAGAAAATACATGAGGAAGGGGAATCTGAATCTCCTGACTCCAATGTATCATTCATTTAGTATTAGATTGTTTGAGTTAACATTTGCACTGAAAAGGAAACTGTATTTTTCCATCTCTCTCAAACCATCTATACACTGTCATTTGACCAGGTGATGTCACCGATTATTGTTGGTTTTCAATGCTGTGATAACTCCCCACGATCATGCGCTGTAGAGAAGCTGTTCTTTTGTAATTATTCAAGCCCCCTCTGAGAACTGATCCAAGGTGTTAATTTGCGGGAGAGGAGAAGGAAACGAAAGCAGCACTCTGACTGGCCCCACAACAGTTCAGCCCTCTCCCTCTCAATTAGGGAGAAGGTGCAGTAGCCTCTTAGGTATTCATACACACACTTCCATAAACACATAATATACAAATTGAAACACTCCATCTTCTCCACACTCTCACACACACATTCATTCAGTTGCAGACCTATGAAGTGAAAACTCCACAGCTAATAGAGAAGGTGATTGACAACTTGGTGGCTCAACACTGTAGGGTGAAGTTGCCTATAACTGAACTGTCCCAAGAATATTTGAATAGAACATGTCAACGATCTTTCAGGGTGGACATTCCTTACAGGCTGAGGATTTGGACAGGAATCTGCGGTCTAGTTGAGGTCAACATCACCCGGAAGTCACTTTTGCAGTTGCAGCCCTTTGCCAACCCAACTTCTAATCCGGCATTATTAGCCGTCGATATCGGTGTCAGTGGCAGCCGCAAGCCCGTACCACCATGTTCTTGTATTTCTTCAGTATGACGTTGGAGTTGTCATCAAAGTAGAGCACTGAGATGGCGTGGAGCTTGGTGGGGGCACAGCATGGCTTTGGTACGTTCTCTGGGTTCATCAGGTGCACCTGAAAATCAAAACAAATGCTTTAACCTCTATAGGCGTCAATCAAAAAGAATCATAGTATGTCATAAAAAGTCATAGTATAGTAAGTCATAAAAAGTCACAGTATAGTAAGTCATAAAAAGTCATAGTATAGTAAGTCATAAAAAGT